TAATGGGTTAAGCTAAGTTGTCCAAACACAAATATGATCCCTAGATAAGGTCTTAAACAATAAAGTTGCCAACTTTACTCTCTTACATGCGTTAAAGGGACTTAAAACTTAAAAAGAAGCTTAATGAAGGTCTTAATACTTGCATGGACCAAAATCTTTCACAAACTTTGCATTTTTATGATCAAGGGACCGTCATAGAGCTAAGATCTAATATCCATTGCTCAAAAGCTCAACTTTAACTCAAAAGACTTCAAAATGCATACAAGACTCCATAAAACGAATATAGCACAAATGATCATCAAGGTGAGTGATTTCTACCTCAAAAAGCTTGCATATGAGAAGGTAGCCCTAGATCTACAAGCTCAAGCTTTACCCCCAAGTGTTCCTCTTCTTATTCTTCTTCACTACAAAACACCAACAAACTCACTTTTAAGCTAAAATATCGCTAAATGCAATTAGGGTTTCGAATCTAGGGTTTAAAGGGATGGAGGCTGAACATAATAGGGTTTGGTGTTGAGTTAAGGAGCTTAAAATAGGGTCCAAAACCCTAAATTAGGGTTCGCATGAAGTTGGAGTACGCCCTGCATACTCTCAGTACGCCCAACGTACTCCAATCGATGCTCGTGATCCTTCTCCCTAGAACACCCAACATACTCTCTATGTACGCCCTGCGTACTACGTTTAGCCTTAAATCCACCAACTTCCGAAGGCCATAACTTCTTTTTTCTAAGATCGTTTTCAATGATCCTTATATCCACGGAACGGTAACGCGAAGCTTTATGCTTCTATCAACGCATCCTTGCCTTAAAACTTCCTGAACTAAAGTCTAATTTCCATAAAAGCCCAAAATGCCGCTTTACGATTATTTATTTGGTTTCCAAATCACAAACCGGAATCCGGGATCATCTAACTTACTTTGCCTACACCCAAATGGGTTTAAACCCCTCTTTTCCAAAGGCCCCTAAGCATTATGATAACCGATCTTCGAGTCACAACCCCAAATCAAGAAACGATTTAGAACAAGGTATGACAAAAAAGGTTGTCGATTATGTTTTTCTAAACAATATTTTTGTTTAAAAAGCATAAATTATGCTATAATATTAAAATATTTACCAATTTCACAATATTACTACATATAATTTGTATTATAAATTAAATCAATAAAAAAAGTATATTAAAATGCTCAAGATAGAAATTTTACAACCATAGATGTATATTTTTTTAGAAACTATTAGTCCATTATATAACAACCGTTCATTTTATAATACAACTTTTTTTTTATATTAACGGTGGGGTTAATGATTAGTGGTTAGAAGTTACTATCACGAAATCATCAATATATGTATTAGAACTTGAGAGTTCCAATCTAAAAGACAAAACTTCTACTAAATGGGTTAGTCACACATTTGCTTATAATAAAGATTTTTGTAAGAATACAATAGCTTGTAAATTTCATTGGATGATATTTGAACAAAAAAATATATTTTTTTTGGATTTATTAATATTCAGCGAAAATATGAAATTATTTGCAACACATAAATAAAATGAATGACTATTTTGAATAAAAGAAAAAAAACAAAATTATTCATAGTTTTTTAAAAAAATAATGTAAAAAGAATATTATATTATAAAATAATTAAAAAATGAAACTTTTATCGATAATAATAAGTTGCAAAATACTTGCTTAAAATAACATTTTACAAGATATTACTAATTTCACAAAATTTTATATATTCAATAAAGGATTTTCTAATATGTATTTTAAGGGTACATATAATAAACATTAATTGATGTTATATATTACCATAATTAATTATAAAATACATTAATAATAAAAAATATTACCATAATTAAATGTGAAGTGAATTAATAATTTCCATAACAAATATATTTTAAATTTAATTATAATAATATTTTTCATAATTAATATTTAATATTTTTTATGTGTGCTTTAACACAAATATTAGAAAATCATATTGAATAATACAAGTAATAGTGTAATACCTTTCCATTTTGCTCATTTTAACGACGCAGCTCTTAAAAAGAAGTCCGTGGCCTTGTCTCATGGCATGTCGACACCTCTTCATTGGTAAAGAAAAAGATCCCACCATCGCTCCAAATTCCAAATTCCAATCTTATCATTCATAAATAAATTTCCCATTTCGCACAAAATTATTCTTTCTCCATTCAAGAAACCTTCTCATTCATTCCCTTTTAATTCAACCCCTTCTTCTTCTTCTTCTTCTTCTTCTTCTTCTTTGATTCCTTATCTTCAAATCTATTGAAACCCACAAAAACTGTTCTCGATCCATTGATTTCTCATCTCTTTTTAATTAGTATGATTGATTTTTAGTACCAAATCTTGGGTTTTAACTTTACCCAGTTGAAAAAGACACAGTCTTTCCGATTCTTTTTGAATAAATCGAACTGGGTTATGATAATCTGAGGTGTTCATCAATGGCGGCTGAAGAACTTATTGATGTCAAATTTAGGTTAGCTGATGGCAGCGATATCGGACCTAGCAAATACAGCTCTGTTACAACTGTCGGATCTCTAAAAGAGAAAATTATTTCACAATGGCCCAAAGGTTAATTCAATATCATCATCTTCATCAATATATTAAATCAAGTTTCTTGATTTTCATATCTAATTTTGTTTGTTCACGCGTTTTCGTTTTTGGGGGTTTGTTTTAAAAGTTGCATCTGCTCCCTGAGCCTTATTTGCTTGTAAATCTTGAATTTTGTTCTTGTTCTTTTACTAATCGAAATTCTGCATAATCACATATTTTCAAGTTGGTTATTGGATAATTTGGCTTATGGGGTTTCTGAATTCAGATTATTTTTGTTGAAATTTTATAAATTTGGAGAAAGAAAGATTATGAATTGATGCATAAACTAATTGTTTAAAACCGAAATGGGATTAATTTTGTTCACGAAATTTTACACGATGATGATTATCTCCTAATTTCATTTTCACGACTTAATTTAGGATCGATCTTACACAATTGCAACATCCAACTTTTACTTTTTAAAAAAAGGTTTTGATTATTGGTCAATGTTTGCGGTGTTAAGATTGAAAATCTCACACTCATACAATTTTACATTAAACTGAAAATCGAACTTTATATGCTTTTTGATAATTTTTGTTTATATCCACGAATTTGTTAGGATTTTATTACATGTCGTGAATTTGATAGTATTATTAATACATTCAAAAAAAAAACAAGACCTTTAGTGATATTAGCTTGAAAATTGGTCAAAAAGCAAAACTTTTTATGTGATGAGAGGAAATGATGATAATCGTTTCTTGATATTCAATCGTTATATGAATCTTTTTTTTTGACAGAAAAAGAAAACGCACCCAAAACAATAAATGATGTGAAGCTCATAAACGCGGGAAAGATTCTTGAAAACAACAAAACACTTGCTGAATCAAGATCTCATGTTAGCGAAATCCCAGGAGGTGTCATCACTATGCATATCGTTATGCGACCTCCAATGGCCGATAAAAAAAGTGGTAAAAAAATCCTTCACAAATTCGTAAAACTTTTAATTTCATTTCATCTAGTATTTGTTACATAAATTATTGTTAATTTTTGATGGTTTCAATGCACGAAAGAGCAATGTAAGATTTGTTATTGATTGTTGTAATTTTGAACACACACACATACACAATTTCTATTATACGTAGACGATTATAACAAGTAAATTTCAATGTTTTTTTCTATTTGACCTCAAAAGTCAAACCAAGTTTGTAATAGTCAACAGATCAACATTTCTAACACTTTTTTTTTCTTTGAATTTTCAACAGAAAAGTTGCAGGATGGCTCCCCCAAAACGAGCAGTTGTTCATGCATGATTCTGTGAAGTTTATACATCGATTTTCACGAGATCTTGGAGGGTTTATTATATTTTGATCATTACAAATTTTCTTAAATCTTTTTCTCAAAATCAGAAAGGGAAAAAGAAAAGGAAAATATGATTTTATGTTGGTATATGAATCGGTATAGAAGCTTTGTAGATTGAAAAGATGTTAAAAAGATAAGAAATTTCATCATTTGTTTTTAATTTGTCTTATAATCATATTCGTGGTTTGATTGTTTGGTTGTTAAAGATACTTATACGAATTAATACAAATAAAGAACAAGGTTTCTTATATGTTAAGAAATTTGCTAATCTAAAACATACAAATTTGATTTGATATAATCTTGTTGTCGATCGTGATATTAAATATGACATAATTGTTCATTTATGTACATTTAGCTTTTTGACATCGTGTTCATTATAGTTTTCTATATACATAATTATCCGTTTGAAATGTCTTTTAATGTGAACCCAAAAAAGAAAGTTGTGACCTATTGAATACAATTAAAAATGTCTTTCAATATGAACTAAAAAATAGTGACTTATTGAATACAATTAAAAGATAAATCAAAGGAAAAATTTAATGTTATTACTTGTCATTTTATGGCATTAGTCCAACCTACAATATAGATACAACAAATGTTATGTTACAAACACAACGAAATAAATTTAAAGGTAAAATGTCGTTATTTAAGGATCAATAGTAAACAATTTACTTGTTACTTATCTTATATTTGTATTGAACATGCAACTAAACCTTTTTCTTGTGTGTTCTCATTATGCAATTGGAATACATTCCAATAAGATAATTTTGTCATATTAGATGTTACTAAATGTTAATGCAAGATAGATTTAGATCAACCAATTTTGCTATATTGAATGAAACTGGATAACACATAAAATTCAATACCTATTTATTTATCTTGTTGAAATGGGTGTAACAAGAAACTAAATTTTTTTATTGATATTTTGAATATAAAATAAAATAATAACGATTTACTATTATTTGTGGTTTTTTAAAATTAAACCTAAATTTAATAAACACACCAAATAATTGTACAAAAAAAAAAAAAAAAAAAAAAAACCAAAAAATAAGAAAATGACAAAAAAAAGTTTTGAAAGGCAATCCAAATCTCATTTTCACCCAAAACCTCACGACTCTGTTTCTCTTCGTCTCCATTACTCACTATCGTCTCTGCTTTATCTCTTGAAACCCTAATTAGAACTCATTAATGGAGTTGCTGTCATCCCCATCTCTCAGTTCATACTGCTCCTTCACCTGCAAACAATCAACTTCTACCTCCAAAGAATGTTCTTCCTCTTTCATCAGAATTTCAAACAGAAAATCATCTTTTCCACTTAGTAAGTTTCAACCGTCTTTCATGGTTTGCTATATCTGAAACATGTATTTTGTTTAGCTACTCAGCTCTCTTGTCGAATTCGGAAATTGAAATCTTAAAAATAGAATATCAGAAATTGAATTTGTTCAAATTAATTTCATCACTACTTTTTATCAACAGAACTTTCTCGATTTCTAGTAACTTTACGATTTCAACGAAGTTATTAACAACATCAACGGGTGTTTGGATGTTTGTGTAGAAGCGATTATGATTCTGATATTTATTGAGAAAAACCCTAAACCCTAATTTACAGGTCTTAAGTTGACTTCGCAAAGGTTGCAACCATCTAACTTTACAGTCGAAGCTGTTGTTGGTGATGCAAATCATACAACTGCTGTACCAAACGATTCTACCATGAAAACCAGTTCTGAAACTGGTGAAGAGAATGTCGACGATTCTGGTGACCCTAAAATGATTCGAATTTGTGACAAATTGATTGAAGTTTTCATGGTCGACAAACCTAACCCTGTTGATTGGAGAAGATTGTTAGCTTTTAGCAAGGAATGGGAAACCATTCGCCCTCATTTCTTTGAAAGATGTCAAGATCGAGCAGATAAAGAAGACGACCCTGGAATGAAGCACAAGCTATTTCGACTTGGAAGAAAGCTGAAAGAGGTATTTCATATTTGAAGGGTATATACGACATTTTACCAACTGTGTAACACTTGTTTTAAACCATATACAGGTTGATGAAGATGTGCAAAGACATAATGAACTTCTACAAGTTGTTAAAAATTCACCTTCTGAAATTGGTGATATTGTTGCTAGGAGACGAAAAGATTTCACAAAAGAATTCTTTATGCATCTTCATGCAGTTGCAGAATCTTATCATGATAATGAGGAAGAACAAAATCGTGAGTGACTCAATCCCCATTTTTATTTTTGCTTATTTGTGTTGTTGCTAATAACCTAATACATTAAAAAATATATATATGTATATTTATTTATTTTTGTTATGATTAGTGATTGCAAAAGTTGGGAACAAATGTTTGGCTGCTGTAGAAGCTTATGATACTGCAACAGAAAGCATTGAAGCAATTAATGCTGCAGAATTAAAATTTCAAGATATTATAAATTCTCCTTCTGTTGATGCTGCTTGTAGGAAGATTGATAATTTAGCTGAAAAAAATCAATTGGATTCAGCTTTGGTTTTGATGATTACAAAAGCTTGGTCAGCTGCAAAGGAGACAAACATGATGAAAGATGAGGTAAGTGATGAATTTGAAATGATGGAATTGGAATCAGTAATTCCTACTGGAATGGAATTGAAGGAACCGTTTTTGAATCTTATGACAGGTAAAAGACATATTGTATCATTTGTACATGACAGCAAGAGGTAATCTTCAAAGACTTATGCCAAAAGAGGTCCGAATTGTTAAATATCTTCTTACTATTGAAGATCCCGAAAGGTTGTTATGTGCGCTAAATGACGCTTTTACCCCTGGTGATGAGCTTGAGGGACAGGATTTCGATAACTTATATACGTATGTAACCTTAGCCTTTATCACATTTATGAGTTTATGACACAATTTAACTTATATCGTTTAATTTTTTTTTTTATTATATGGTTTTGTAGGACACCTGAAAAACTACATACTTGGATTAAGGCTGTGGTGAATGCTTACCATTTTAGTAGAGAAGGGACACTTGTAAAGGAAGCTCGGGATCTTATGAACCCTAAAATCATTCAAAAAATGGAAGAAATTGAGAAGTTGATACGAGATAAATTCATGTAAACATTGTAAACATGGTTATGGTGTTTATATGATCTGGAAAATGAATATTATACAGTAGTATCACCACACTCCGTATTTGAATATCACAAAATAACCATCTTTTCTAGAAAAAAAAAACATGAATGTTATTTGAAACTTCTTTTTGTTGTTCTATTTATCAAAAAAACCAAGGAAGAATATTTTCAAAAAAAAAAAAAAAAAGGAAAGAACATTTGCGCAAGCAAAAAGAGAAGAACATATTCACGAAATAATGGGGAAGAATTTGTTCAAAAAAATTTGTACGGCCTTTTCGAACTTTGAAAAATATGTTCGGAACTAAAGAACAGGTTTGAAAATCAAGAACAAGTTCATGACTTGTGAAGATTTGACATGTCATTAATGTTTTATTTAGGGAAAATGACCTTTGAGGGTAATAAAGTATTCGTCTTGTATTCATTAGGTCCCTTATCTTTTTTTTGTCTTTATTATACCATTGAACTTGTAATCCCTGTTCACCAAAGCCCTTGATACCGGTTGTTGTAGGTTACTAGTTATGTGGATATTACGTGGCATTATGTGCCATAAACTGGGCTTATTAGTTGCAAAGTTAAGTACTGCATCTTCTTGCCCGTTCTTGCCCTAGATCGACATGTCTTCTTCTTCTTCTTCTATTTCTTCCAAACGAAATGTTGAATTTCAACCTGAAAATCCTTGTTACTGTGGGTTACCATCTCGTGTACGAACTTCACGAACTAAAGACAATCCAGGAAAAAAATTCAGATTGTGCCCTAACTCCATGGTAAAGCAATTGTTTTTTACTTTTCGTTTTATCTTCTTTCTTTAACCAATTTGTTACTTTTTTCAAGAATGAAGGACCAAAATGCAAGTTCTGGGAATGGTTGGAGCCTGAAACCCCCGAAAATGAAGTCAATTCTGGGAAGGACAAAAAAGAACCGTGCAATTTAACCCTCAAAGTTTCTATATTGGAAAACGAGATCAGCATATGTAAGATGAAGATGGAACAAGAAAATTTGGTTGTTAGACAAGAGTTTGAAAAACTCAAATGGAAGCTATTTACTCATAAAGTTGTGATGATTGTGTTGTTTCTGTTGTTTGTGTTTAAGAAGTAGTTTAGCCCTTAATTTAACCCTTAGTTTAGCTGTATTCAAAGACTAAATGTAATCCTTAATGTTGTAATTTGTTTGATGTATTATGACTAAATCTTTTTGATTAATGATAGTTTGATGTTTTGAGTGCTTTCCAAGAAGTATTAATATGTTTAAAAGGTTAATGAATTGGACATGATGCATGGGTAATATGGTCCAGATTAAATTTGGCAGTCAATTGTTATTGTGTTGATGTGATCCAATGGTAAAATGGTCCAGAATAACCACATTGGATACATCAAACATTTCTTAATGTATTAAGACTAAATCTTGGCATTAATCAATTGTTAATGTGTTGATGTGATCCAAGGGTAAAATGGTCCAGATTAAATTTGGCAGTAATCAATTGTTATTGTGTTGATGTGATCCAAGGGTAAAATGGTCCAGATTAACCACATTGGATACATCAAACATTTCTTAATGTATCAAGACTAAATCTTGGCATTAATCAATTGTTAATGTCTTGATGTGATCCAAGGGTAAAATGGTCCATATTAAATTTGGCAGTAATCAATTGTTAATGTGTTGATGTGATCCAAGGGTAATATGGTCCAGATTAACAACAACAACAACACCAAACTTTGCTTAATGTAGTAATACTAAATTTACTTGATTTATGATAGATAATATAAGATTAAACAATCTATATGCAAATAACCGTACACCAAAGCATATAGATAAAAGACAAAGTTGTAATATTCCATCATCATGTGCACTATTACAAAAGCTGTGCCCACAGTTGTCCTAATATGTCAAAAGATGTGCCATGTGCCCACAGTTGTCCTAATATCCCAATTACATATTTATAAGACTAAAAGTTTGTCTTTCCAAATAAAATCATTCCAACACCATTGGGTTGTGTCCAGTGCTTCCTTCTTTCTTCAAAACCTTCCTCCTCAACCCTATCTTGGTAATTCTTTCTGAGTATTTTCGTATCCTCTGCCTAGTTGCAACTGGTTGAGCAGGGACATCAACATCTGGATGTGGATCATCTACTTGAACTGGTTCAACATGTGGAGCTGGTACATCAACTGGATCCACTGGATCTGCTTGAACTGGATCAACCTGTGGAGCTGGTACTTGAACTGGATCCACTAGATCTGCTTGAACTGGATCCACTTGAACTGGTTCCACTTTACCTGCTATACAAATATGTAGCTAATGAGTTGGATGTTCCATTTAAATTATATTGTTTTAATAGCATACCTTTCTCTTTTTTACATTTTTTAGGTTTCTTGTTTTTTGGCCTTGAAGTGGATGCTACATCTGCTGGTCTAGTAGGACATGTTGATCTATTGTGGCCCCTTTCTCTACAAATACTGCATCTATTAACTGAACCTGCTTTTGAGATAGTATGCCTTGTTTTCCCCTTGCTTTCCATCTCAGATTGATCTTTTTTCCTTTTAAGGGTTGGCCTTCCTGGTAACCTTCTTTTTTGAGGAGGCAATGGCTTCATGTAGGGAGCTTCAGGCCACATGGAACTACCATTAAGTGGGTTAATGGTATGGTTGTAACAAGTCAAGAACATGGCTGTATGGAACCATGGTGCAACATAATCCTCTGCATTCCTGTTAAGGTATGAAATGGCTGCCACTGCATGCACACATGGGATACCTGATACTTGCCAAGATCTACATCCACATGTGTTGTTGTTAAGGTCCACAGCATATCCATCATTTCCAATCCTAACTTCATATTGTTGTATCCCAGATGGTATAACACCCCAAAATCTGCCCAAAAAAATAAGAAGTTCTATTAATCTTATAGATGAGACATATAATATTTATAAAATAGAAGTTATATCATACCTTTGCTGTTTCTTTAGCTTTGATATCTTCAACCTTATAGATGGACATATTTTTAAATTCCCCCAACTTTGTCCCTCTTGCAACATTTTATACATCCTCTCCATTGCATAAATCCTTATCTCTTCCAACATGGTGATGAGTGGCCTTTTCCTAGCAAGATCAATAACAGAGTTGAAACTTTCTGATATGCCATTCTCATAAGCATCACAAGCCCTGTCCACTTCAAAGAATGCCCTGCACCAACTTTTAGGGTCCCTTTCCATGAGGTGTTCATAAGCCAAAGGATCAATTTTTTTTATGGAATTCATTTCTGCCTCAAATTTTGGTTGAGTAGTACTAGCAGCTGCTGCCCAAAACAACTTCCTATATTGTTCACCTTTGAAACTTTTCTTGAAGTTAGCATAGATGTGCCTAGCACATTGTCTATGCTCTGCTGCTGGAACCCTTTCTTTGACAGCCTCTATTAATCCCTGAAAGAAAGCATGAAATAGATGACATAACAAAAACATTCAACTTAAACAAAACAAAACAGAAATTGTGACATCCCCAAAATCACGGCCAGAAAAGACCGGTTTTGTTTATACTTTATTTCAAAATCAGAGTTATCTTTTAATAAATGGTTTGCGGAATTTGTCCCAAAACAATAATATGATAAAGATTTATCAAAAGCATTTCCATAGAAATGTATTCATTAAAAGACTCGGGATGTCATGTTCGTACAGATCAAAAGTATAAACAGTACAATATAAGCCTTACTACATTATTTCATATCTACAGGTCTATATCCGTAATCCCTCGTCCAAAACATCACACCTATGCTCATGCGCCACTACCTGTAATACATAAAACTGAGTGGGTCAGGCTTGGGAGCCTGGTGAGCACATAGGGTTTTCAACCCACAATAAATAAGTTTATTAATTTCATCAATCAACAATAACCCGATTACCCGTTCCCGTTATCCTCACTTTACGTCCCTAAACACCTATCATAAGGGACCTAGCCTAAGGATTATCATCGGGACGGACACTACTGCTAAGGGGATTCCTCAGCAATAAATGTCCTAATAGGCAACCATGTGGGGGATGGAGTACACCGGTGAACACATCGTTCACAACACCTACAGGTTGCGAGCCTGCTAGTGTTCCACTGGACTGTCTAGAAGAGTCCGTGGTCGTCATCTATACTCCGCTAGATGACTGGATCAACAACAACAACATCGAGGCCTCTCATCATTTTATCACACATCACCTATTACATCTACCCATGTTTTACCCCAACATTTTCGTAGATATAAAATACATATACAGTTTAAATCATTGAAAACATGTATAACAACGTTCATCTAGCATAGATAGCAAGTATTCAGATAATATGCACACATAGCACGTAATTTATATAAAATACTTCATATCTATGTGTAAGTTGAAGGTAACTATGCACTCACCGGAAAAGGTGGTGATTCCGAACTCAGACAGCGCTTCGCTTCTTAAAAAGAATTTTTCTTCGACGAAACCTAGTATTATTACCACTAGAGTTTAGTTTATTATTCGTCGAGACTAATTAATAGTCTAGCTATTATTATTATTATATAAGCGTCAAAAAAATACTTATATAACCCATAATAATAGCCCAAGTATTTATTATAAGTTCCTAATAACGTTACTATAATTAAATAAAAGTTATATTAAAAATAGCGTAGGCGTAGCTCACTTACAGCGGGTTTTATAGAAAACCGGGCTTTGCTTGGAGCAGCGTTCCCGAGCCGAAAAGCTCTTCTTCTCAGAGCCTTCGAGCACTCCGGGGCTTCCGCCTCGTGCTAGGGAGGTTCCCTAGGCTTTTCGGGGGATTTCGGGGCTAGAGAGAGGTTCTAGAGAGAGAGAGAGTAAAGAGAAGAAAGAATGGGAAAGGTGTGAAGAAAATGAGGGTGGGAGAGGTGGTATTTATAGGGTGAAATGTGGCTGAACTTGGTGCCACATGTCACCATCTGGTGGCAAGCCTTGGGGAGAAAGCAATGGCCAAGATTGTGCCACATCACCCATTTTCGCACAGCACACTTCCGACTTCTAAAATCCGTAACTTTCACATACGACCTCCGTTTTTGACGTTCTTTATATCCACGCGTAGGTAATAATAAGATCTACAACTTTCATTTTGACACCGTCAG